AAGCGCCGGCAATAGCTTAACAATAACTGGAAACTAAACGCACTCAACTATCAACAAATCAGTCAAAGTCCACATGCTGTCAAAGCTGAATTTCCTGCTCCTTGTGAGTGCGGCCTCCCCAAGTATGTGTGTACATACATACACATGTACGAGTACATACAAGTATGTACGAGTGTATGTGCAAATTGCAGCTCTGCTGTCGTTCGAGTGTGTGCGTGAGTGTGTTTGTTCGTGTGCTAAAAAATGATAACTGTGCGCAGTCAAGTGTTATCGGTCGCATCAGAGAGCTGCAGACACGTGCACACAGGCGAACCCCCGCCCCATCCTTTCCACAATTCCCACCTCCCAAACAAGCATATAAATAATTGAAATGTTCACTCGCACAGCACACACACACACAAACACACACACTTACGCGCATGGCGAATTCCAACTGGCCCGAGCACCAGGCCCACTCCAATGGGCGGCCACTTGGGCAATTTGCAGCGCTTTTCTTGGGCATTGGGTGTTGGGCACTCCAGGATCGACTGTTGACTCCCTGGATCGGCTGGCGTTGGCTCTCTGCTGGCTGGCATTAAGCAATCAAACGTTTGATTTTCATTTATCGTGTAATCAAGCGTAAAAATAGCTTCGTGACCAAAGTAACTCATCATCGTCGTCATCATCGTCCTGCCTGTCATCTGACTCGTGTCCTTCTGGGTACGTACTCGTTCTTTTGTGTGTCCGTGTGCGTGTGCGTCCACTCCTAGGGGTGTTGATGACATTACGGTCATTCGATTGCTTCATTTTTTTAGTTCTGCTGCGTATGGCACGCATACACGTATCTATCAATGAGTATCGCTTCCATCTTCTCTTTTCTTATTATTATTATTTTTTTTTTTTGTGTAGTACGTGTAATGATTTGGCGCTGCGGTAAGCGGCTCATCATGAACCTTAATTGCGTGGCTTTGGGTTCTTAGTCTGTCATTGAAATTGGTGGGTCTTGTTCAGTGTAGATTGGGTAGCCCTTACTATCTGATTGCCATTACTTGTGCACAGCTTGACAGCTATAACCCAACAGTCATTATTGATAGAAGGCAGCGATTGATGACGTGGACTCTTCTCAATTTAAATGTTCAAACATATTCAATAAATAAAATTTTGTCGTCCAGGGATAAGTTGCTCACAATGCACAGTCACTTTTCTGAGAATTACTCGTATGCCATTGAAATCGCACAAATTTCTTGATAACCTTACCTGAATATACTATACTTTCAAAAATGTCTAAAGTCGGTTCATTATTTTTGGCGCCTTGAAGGTATTCAAAACCAATTTGTAAGCTAGCTGAGATCGTTACAAAGCTAGCTGAGATCGTTCCTCCACAAAGCCGCCTATCCTTTTTTATTTGTTTGAACATTCAAAATGGAAAATAATTTATTTTCCGTTTCGGACCCCACAAAAGATATATGTATATTCTTGATCAACTTGATAAGGTGAAGCGATTTCGCCTTGCCTGTCTGACCGTCCATCTGTCGGTCCGTATGAACATCTAGATCCCAGCGACTATAACTCTTAGAGACATCAAGTTGCACCTACACCATGATAGATAAGTTTTTAAGGAAGTTAAAGTTATAAATTAAATCTCTGCCTCTCTCTCTTCGCTCAACTCTGTATTGCAAAATACTCATACACAGACAGGCATGGACTCATATGGACAAGATTCCGCAATTGTGCAGTCATACACCCTTTAACGTTAGTTAATATCCAGAATGATTGATAAAACCAATTTTATTACAATTTTATTACAACTTTTATTTCAATTTCATAAAAACCCCACATTTTTTTAGTTTCTTGGAGTTGGTGAAATTTATACTTTCGGAGATATTTGCGTTGATACCTTTTTACCGTTCTTGTACAGTTATAAAAACAAACCAATTTTTATGTACTTGCTTTGCTTTATCAACGCCACATGAATTATAACTATTATTTTATTTCAAACCACGTTGCATATGGTAGGTAATCAAATAATCAATAGGGATTCCATTTTTTTAAGGTTGTCTACAAATAGAAACTGCTTCATCGCACCTAAAAAGCAAACCAATTTTTGTTGTTGTTCACTTCTAGCAATTATAAACCGAATTATGAATATAATAGCGATACGACCAATGATTTTGTGGAGTTCATAAAGGCTAGCTAACTAGTATTATGGATCAAGCATGTGCAATTTATCGTTTCGTTTATGTAATAGTTTTGATCGTTAATTAAATATAGAAAATGAATTGCGCGTACATACGAATTATTTATTTTTTATATATACGGGTATAAAAATAAAATCAGGTAAATAAATAATATAATAAAAAATGATCTTACAAGAAAATTTATTTGTACGACAGTGTATTCCTTCCTTAGCGTACATTAGCAAAATGGGCCTTTCTATGGAAACTTCCTTGAGGCACCCACGAGTCTTACTGTGCAAATTTGCATAATTTAAATGGCATATGTTCGCGTGACCTTTATTTTTACTTATGATTATGGGTTTGTACTTTTATATATGTATGTATGTATATTATGCATTACCTATTGATCTTGAAAATGTATCTAACAGCTGTGAGCACGCTTCAATGAATACAAGTGATTCAATTTCCACAATTTTCAACTGATCTCTGGCGCTTGCTCTGACCGAATCGGGTTAGATTTTCAATTGTGATTATGCTGCCATTAATTTCGCTAATGAGTTCTCTTGTTATTGCTCTCGTGGCTGCTGTTCTCGTTCGGCACATGCAATGATTGCTCATCCGCCTACAACAACAAATGCCAGTATCGCATGTATCGCATGTATCGCGTGTTTTCAGTGTCAAGTTCAATATCCAATGTTGTGCAAGCCGCGTTTCCAATGGCTGCATGCCAGGTTACATGTACAATATATATGTATGTGTATGTACGTATGTGTAGGAATGTGTACATACATATGTGATTCTATAATGGGTTTCCCTTGATGAGTTAGCCAGATATGCAGATACAGATAAACGTAGCAACAATAAATACAGCAGCTTGTTTTAACATCTACATGTCATAAGGCACAGCACCGTGTTCAGTCACTGAATTATTATAGCTTAGTTTTCCATTTCGGTTTCATTTCGTTGTTGTATTTGTTTTTGTTTTTGCTTTTGTTTTTGTTTTCATTTGGATTTTGCAATGTCGTTTACGCAAATGGAGGGCTCATAGTTTGTAGGTTGTGGAGCTTGTTGGCACTGCCATTGCCGGAGCTCATTAAATACGCGCCAAGACTTTAAGCATTTGCATGTATGTTGTGAGAAATATTTTATAATGTTGTGTATTGTATTCCTATGTGTATGTGCCATACGAACGCACATACATACATACTAAGCACACATGTTTGTAATTAACAATCTGAGTTTACTTCCTTTAATGTTGTTTATAGATTATTATTTGCAAGTTCATTTTTTGAACACCACACTGTGCGAATTTTTAGACAATTGTTGTGTTTTACACTCTTGTCGGTACTAATATTAAATGGGATTTTTCAAAAATGTAAAAGTGAATTCTAGTTTAGTGCGAATGTATGTAGGACCCAGAAGATCAGAATGATCAGATCAGATCAGTATGACGTCCAAATGAACGACTATACATAATTTCAATCACACGCTCTCCTAAATCCACCAAAAAATTAATGTTACAATTTTCTGATGAGTAGCCTTATTTGTCCTCATTTAAAGGTTCATGGCATAGATCAAGGGATAGGAAGTTATAGGCAAACTATACACGTAACATCTACCCATGTACGATCCACCTCCAGAAACATAAACATAGACCCGATTAATATTTGAGATAATTGACATTTGCAAAACAAGTGGAAAAGCTCAATTAAATGGCGGGGGAGTGGATCACATCTACTGCGTAGTTATTGTCTCTAGCTCTAATAGCCTTTAAAATCTGGGTGTCCATACGGGCGGACGGATAGGCAAGGCTATATCGACTCGTCTTGGTGATGAATAATATATAAATGTGTATAGTATTTTGTGGGGTCTGCCAGGCCTCCTTCTGCATGGTACATATTCCCCTTTGCACAAATATATCTTGTAATTTTCAGGTGCAGAGTATAATTACATACATATATGTTGGATATTATTCACGTTATTATTTGCATACAATTTATTTAATTGATATTTTCGAATACAATTAGAAATTGAGGTAAACAACTACATACAAATAATATGTGTAAAGTTATATTATGTAAACTTGTTGCGTGAATAGGGAGGGGGAAAATTATTTTCGGGTTGTCTAGAGATCAGAAGAGTCGGCACCCCATCACCTTCAAAATGGTCTTAATCAGAAGCAGCATATTATATCCTTTTTACGCTTCGGCTAAAAGTCCCGTGCTTATAAAGTTTCAATTATAAAACTGAGCTCCTGGGTCACATCACCTGCAGAATGGACTTATTAATATTCAATGGTGTAAAATAAATTTAAGTCACTTTTCGGCCAGTGTACTGAAGCTGCTTACCACTCTGAGGCACATGAGAAGTGGCACGTTCTCCAAATATGATCCCAACATAGAAGCAAGTCCGCCATCTGGAGCAAAGCCGGACAAGCCATCTCAGCTGCAGCCAATTGCTTGAGCGCTGCAATATTGTTTGCTGAAAACTCATTAGCAAAGTATACTTGTTGACAACCAATTTGGCAGAATGCACATCGTATGGTCTCTCTCAGGCAGTCGACGATCACACCCTCGGATTGGCGCTGACGTCAATACTTGTAGTTTGCTTCTCGGCACTTGCCGCTGAGCATTTGAAGCGCAACAAAATGAGCTGCGCCGAGCTGAGCTGAGCTGAGCAGAGCAGAGTAGAAAAGTTCATAGTTAAATGATTTTATTCGCTACTTAATTTTCGTTTGAGCTTTTTGGTATTTTGTTTAGTTCTCGAATGAACGCCGACGCAGGTAAATGCGCGTTCGCAGACGACGCTTCGGTCTAGCCCGTTACTTGTGCAGAAACTTGCAACATGTTGACGCAGCTGGTGTGCGCGACTGTACTCTGCTGCCACTTGGTTGCAGCTGCAGTGCGTTATCCTTCAGCAAATGCTCGTCAGGAGCGACAGAGTCTCGTACAGTCCTATAGCAAAGTGCTTAACAAGGAGGAGGGCGCTATACGTCTAGTGGGAGGACGCACGGATTATGAAGGTCTGTAACGTCCTGATGCCAATGTTTAGCCATATATATATAGTTATTGTTTAGGCAACATTGAAGTGCTGCACAACAATAAATGGGGCGCCGTGTGTGACGATGAGTGGGACGAGGCAGAGGGTCATATTGTGTGCCTACAGCTGGGTTTCTCCGGGTTGAGGCGCGTTACTCACAGCGGCTACTTTGGTCCAGCTCGTCGTCGCTACTGGATGGACAATCTGTTCTGCCAGGGCCATGAGCAGGAGGTGACACAGTGCCACTTCGAGGGCTGGGGCATCAACGATTGTGAGCCCAGCGAGGCCGCTGGCGTTATGTGCTATCCACCACTGGATGCACCGCAACTGCCAATAGCAGCTCTACAGGATGAGCCAGAGTTGCCCAAATACCCCATTCATTCACGGACCCGACTGTATGTCCGTCTACGTGGCGGACGCTTCCGTAGTGAAGGCCGCGTTGAGGTCCGATTGAGTGGGGGCCGCTGGGGCAGCATATGCGCCGATGGCTGGTCACTGCTAGAAGCCAATGTAGTGTGTGGCCAGCTCGGTCTGGGTTACGCGCGCGAGGCATTCCAAACGGACTTCTTCGGCGGGGCCAACGTCTCGCAGCCCATACTGAGTGGTAGCGAGTGCTACGGAAATGAGACAGAGCTGGCCGATTGCCTGCATCACGATCATGTCCTGGGTGTCATTAGTTGCCACGGGCTCCGGCAGCATGTGGCCGCTGTAGTGTGCGATTTTAAGTCACCGGATTTGATTGTGGACTACGATGAGATTGAGCGCACTGCGCATTTGGAAGACCGGCCCATGCTCTTCATGCAGTGCGCTATGGAGGAGAATTGTGTTTCTAATGAGGCCTACGATATACAGCGTGACGATCCACATTGGCGCTATCAAACGCGTCGCTTACTGAAGTTCACGGCTGCAGCATTGAATGCAGGCAATGCGGATTTCCGACCCTTTAAGCAAAAGAGCCAATGGGAATGGCACTTGTGTCACATGTAAGTACAGCGTCACTATCCACTATCCTCGCATTCGTCCAGTCTATGTCCCTTGTTATTCAGGCATTACCACAGCATGGAAGTCTTTGCCACCTTCGACATTTTCGACTTGCAGGGCCGCAAGGTGGCACAGGGACACAAGGCGTCCTTCTGTCTAGAGGACAGTCATTGCTTACCGGGCGTTCCAAAGAAATACAACTGTGCCAACTTTGGGGATCAGGGTAAGCTGAAATGCTAAAATATTTAAGATTATAGCAACATTTCGAGCTAATTACGTTTTCAGGCATTTCCGTAAATTGCTCAGACGTTTACCTCTTCAACTTGGACTGCCAATGGGTGGACATTACAGAAATGCGAACTGGCTCCTATATTCTGAAAATTGCTATTAATCCAGAGTTCAAGGTAGCTGAGATGCGATTCGACAACAATGCCGCTATTTGTGACTTGCTCTACGCGGAAACATATGCTCGTGTTGACAACTGCCGCCTCACACGACCTTGAAAAAGTTCAGTGGGGCACTGTGAGAAAGATGACGAACAGTGCCAAAAGTATGCTTAATTAAATGCCAAAAAAGTGTTTCTATACCAAAACAAATTGCTTTATGTTTGAAAGGTCTTTCGTACTATACGAACTTCTGTATCTTGTTGTTATTGCTTGTACTTGAAAATCACTGGTGTGTGAACATGTCAGCACTGTCGCGTCACAGCCACTACTTTGACTTGACCAACCAAGCATTAATCAAGTGTCAATAGCCACATACACGTATACCTAGAAGCTATCAGAGTCTTTGGTTCGGATGCATAAATGAAATCAGCTGTAATATTGGGATAGTACTCAAGCGATTCGAGCCCTCTATAGCGCCGTCGAATACAAGTACAATAATAAGTAAAAAGTGTTCTATAAATAATTAGCCCAACCTAACACGGTTGTATTAGGATAAGAACAATTTCTTGTTTTTAACTGGGAAGTGGAAGTCTAATTTTAAGTTGTAAGAAACAAGTAACAGTTATGGAGATGTACAGATTGTCCATTAGATTTTAATCCTAAAATTTCTCCAAATACAGGGATTTATATAAAAGTAGTTGTGCAGCTATGAGTCTTTTCGTACCCCATATTCTATGCAAATTTAGCACTTTTAATTCGACAATGAAAAATCCTTCAAATATATATCCATTGCTTATATCGAATCAAAAATACAAGTTTAAATCAAATAAATAGATAAAACAGCTTGTGAATAGAAAATAAAACAATTGTTTTTAAGTTTTACAAAACTTATGCATAAACAAGATAGAACGCTACAGTCGAGCAAGCCCGACAGTAAAATAGCCTGTACTCTCCACAAAAAGGAAAAATTAAAAAAAAAAAAATTTTTTTTAAATTAAATTATTAAAAAAAATGAATGAATTAATTAATTAAAATAATTAATTAAATTAAATTAGAATACATGTTTATGTTCAGTTTAAACAGCATACATTTACATCACGTACCTATGCGTGTTTATATGCGTGTATGTATGCAGCACAAAGTTAAACCAAAGTAGCAACAACAACAACAGCTGCGGGCAGCGCTGCCGACAGAGGCAGCGCATGAGCAGCGATTTTACTTATGGCTATAACTTTCTTCAGAATTGACCTATCATGATGAAATTTGGCACACGGACACATTAGTACTAACTGGATGTACCTACCAAAATTGATTTCAAAATTCCGAGAATTACGGAAGTTATAAGAAAAAATACGAATTGCGGGGGAGTGGGGGGGTGTATCAGAAAAAATAAACAAACTCGTTCTGCCTAGGGCTTATAGGAACCTTAATACCAATTTTGGTTATCCTAGCTCTTGTACTTACTGAGATCCTTGCGCTCATACAGACAGACGGACAGACGGACAGACGGACAGACGGACATGGCTATATCGACTCGTCTTCTCATCCTGATCAAGAATATATATACTTTGTGGGGTCTGCCACGCCTCCTTCTGTGTGTTACATACATGCGCACAAAACTAGTATAGCCTTTCACCCTTTGGGTACAGGCTATAAAAAACAAGAAGAATGAAGAAGGTGAACAATCAGAATAAACTATATGGTGAATTATAAAATGATACGAATGTCGTCATGTCAGAAAATGGGGCGAGTTCTCAACGCCTTTAAAAGCACAGCAATCTTTAAGCTAATTAACAAGGCTTGGAAATAAATCACGCTCTTAATTTACATGTGGAGCAACGCCACATCATTGAAGATTGAGCGGTATTCAGCAGAAGCCTATCCTTACCTTATCCAGGGGTACAGAAGACTTCGATTCCAGCCTAACGCATGAAGTGCAAAAATATAAATTCCCTTTCTACGGATCCATTTTGCGATATTTATGTTTGTATTATGGATAGTGAACATGTGAGGGTTTGTCATAATAATAGTAATAGTTAATAAGTCAGTCATAATAGAATATGGTAGTAATAGGAGAAAAACGAAATATGGTAGCGGCTGGAGAGACGAAGAAAGATTTCGGTCTGAAGACCACGCAGGAAAGCAGCCTCAGTCTGGAAAAGGAGGAAGTCGAGCTATCGCAGCTGCACAAGTGATGCATCAATGAAAGGTAAACCTGCATAAAGTAGCCTGGCATCTCTAGAGGCCAAACCTAATTAGCCACATCGTCTTCAACCGGACAACAGTAAGTAGACTGTAGTATCTGCTCATGATCTCACACTCTGGGCAAATCACCTATCAGTCAATCAGTGAGTCAGGACAAACTATTTTATATATATACAGATATACAAGTCGTCATTGCAAAAAACAAAATCTGGTCAATCAAATACCAAAAGTATGAATGTTTTATTTTATTTTTTTTTAACTTGCTCTTGTTTCAACTCAACACCCTGTAATTACTAACTACTAACTTGTCATACCTATAGACTTACTGTAGGCTTTCCTTTTGCAAGCTTAAAATCCAAACCGAAAACTGATTTACTTTTGGAAGTCAGATGTTTGAAAACGACCAACTTTTACAGCTTAATCAATACGAGGCCAACTAAAAATGTACTACCCAGTTCACATCCGGCTTCACACGCATTGGCCATAAATATTACGTGGCAAAATTAATTGGATAAACGTTTTATGATATTGAATTATGATATCCGGGGTCAATGCAGCAAGCCCGAAGACCAAATGAGAACTTCTTACTTTACACAAAAAAGAAGGGGAAATATTCCCACACAATTCATAGAGCAAATTTTATGGGTGCGTAAGTTCCAGGAGGCCAAAGCAAGTAGTGCAAGGACAACACAATCCTTGCTCCACAGCGTCATGCACACGGGTAATAAAATTCGATATAAAATCATGTAATAAAATCATTACACACCAGCCTGGCGCTCGTTTATGGCAAGCCAAACGTGCAGGCGGTGCAGGATATACTCGTCCTTGTATAACCTAAGCTCGAGGCACTCCTCCGCAAAATCATAAAAATAGCTATGTGTGCCGGCAGCTAACGAAGGCGGTTTGCAGTTAAAGGAGCAGAAAAAAGCAGCAGCCGCCTCTATTGACGGCCGAGCAGTAAAAAAGCAGCGCGAAAATTATTTTTGTGGGTTTTCCTTTTTGCCCTTACATTCCGCTTTTGGCATAAGAAGCACAACGTCAAGAGGTAAAAGAGCCAGATATATGTAGCTTAAGGTGCAAGTATATTGAAAAGGGTTAAGTGGAGTTCGTTCATTAAAGCTGAACTGAACTTGGCCGAACATTAAAGCGCAACGATAATATAGCCATTCCTTATTGTTTGGGACATAACAATTAATCTGCCGACTATGCATTTACTTGCATGTATGTATGTAAGCCTAATTCTGCTTTTACACGGTCAAACAAGGTTTGAAACAATATTTTTTTAAATGTTTTTACACAATTTTATTCCATTTAGCACGATTTCAAATAAAACAACACAAATAAATTAAAACACACACAACTCACAAACAACTAGAAACCATTCTTGTACGGGGCGTTACAAAGAATTATACAAAGAGGCAGCAACAATTGGCCAACAATGGCTCATAACAGAGTTAGACTGTTAAAAGGTGGATGCCGAGCGAGCAAACGAAAGTCCAGTTCAAAATTATTTCAACGATGATAGTAATTTGGTGATAACAGATGATAACAGCAATTAAATTTGTGTTCCTGTATTTACGACTATCATTTTAATTTTTAAAAAAATTGTGTAGCCTTAAAAGTTGAATAAACTATTCTCAACATAGCTGTTTTACATACATACATAATTATTGTTTTTAAAAAATCCTTGGTTTTTCACTTATTTCACTAATTTTAATAGGATTTAGAGATAAGGAGCCAATCAGCCAATGTGTTTCTTACACGGGATTTTCTGGACCGTGTAAAAACAGAATTATGTGTACATATATACAGTCTACGTGTGGCATAGTATATATTGTAGTATTAGTCACCGTAATGCGCATGCGATATTTGTAGCTGGTCATCTCTGGTATTTTAAACAACGAATTTAACTGGAACCAAGACATTGACTCGAATGTAACACAAATATTCTTGTTAGACCTAAAATAACATGCAATAATTATAATTTATTGAAAGAATTATTTGCTAGACTTAAATATTATTTGAAATGGAGTCCTATTTGAGAGAACAAGAGAGGAGGCTACAGTAGGGCAAATACCCTTCACCCATACACTCTACACGCTGATTAATATGCGTCCATAACAGAAGCAAAAAGAAGAAGAAGTGGAAAAGCTAAAATCGGATGCCCTGCTTGTTTTTAAATCCATTTTTTAAATGTTTATTAAATTTCTATAATTATTCTATACAAATTTATATCAAGTTCGGGACCCGCGACGTTAGCTTTTCTATTTGCTTTTGATTTGCGTAGGAAATACTCCCTCAAAAAATAGCTTGCTACCACAGGATAATCTTTTTCCATTTTGACAGAGGCACTACTATCGACGTAGTTAATCAAATGTTGAACCATAATTACGATATCGATGTAGATGAAACTTTGGTGGAAATAACACATAATCAAAATACCAAAGTTTGGTCAATGTAGGAGGTCGTCTTCATGGCTCGGTTAGAAACATTTCGGATTGCCCTCGTACGTATGGCATTGGCCATACAAATTATTGTTGCTATTTTTTAAAACTTTATTATTTTTATTATAATTTAATTTGTAACAGGAGCAAATGCAGTTTTGCATTTCCTCCTCTCTTATCTGATTAAAAATATTAGTTCGCATATATTTATTTTAAAGTCCTGTTTATAAAGCCTGTAGAGTACAATGGGTATATTAGGGTTTTGCAAAGGTAACACAGGCATAAGGAGGCATCTTTCCTAATCAGCATACCGAGACATCGATATAGCCATGTCCGTCTAATTGACTGGATTTTGGAGCCCACATTTACCAAACTTGTTACACTCTCCTAAAACCCCCCCTTCCAGGCTACAGAATTTCATCAGTACCGTTTACATTTGGAAAGCTAAATAAACCAAACTTTGGACACGTAATCTACATATAATATGTTTATACAATTATCTACTTTTGTTTAATCCGAATCGGGCAGTTCTAAGAAAAGCTGCTAGCGAAACAATTTTACTCGAGTACTACGCCCAGAAACCGCAGCATCAAGCAGGAAGTTCATTTGGGTACAGGGTATTTCACTGTCGGACATGCTCGACTGTAGTGTTCTCTCTTGTTTTGTTTGTTGTTGTCCTAATTTCGAAATATTTGGCAGTAATGTTTTCCAGTTTCCTTTTGGGTGGTGGGGGACCACATCCACAATTTGGCCCATAAGTTCATTAAATTCACAAGGCCTTCATTAGATCGTCTTAAATCTCTTTATAATGATATCATATGTGGTGCGTACTGTCGCTCATTGGAACATTAATAAAATTGCATGCCGCTGACAACATAAATGTCACCAACACGCTATTAAAACTAAATTATAGCCGACATAACAATGATTCATATTGCGCAACTAGGCAAGGCAAAGCATTCCAAGCCGAGCGCCAAATCATAAAAAATGAAATTGTGGCAATAACTCGCAAATTTGTTGGTTGCTTAAATGCAAAAGCAAACAACAAAAAAATGTTATTAATTCGTAATAAGCGCACAAGGCGAAACCAAAAAAGAAATTGTGTTGAAAAGAAGGCGTGTTGTGTTTGCTTTTGAAAATGTGCCAAAAAGTTTGCAATCAGCTTAATACCCTTTTTGTTTTTATTTCATTCTGGGTTCAGTTAAAAGGGGCCGGGCATGGAATGGAATAATAAAATTAAAATGCGCCTTCTGCTTTGGACACACGAAGGCAATACGACACTATAAAAGTACACAATAAAATGAAATGAAATCAACAGAGACAGCAGCAGACTGCAATATCAAAGGAAGGCAATGAATCGGTCGATTCTATGCTCGGAATAATAATGATCTTTTCAGTTGTTCGGATGGAAGTTAGACTGAATTTTTGATGTCGATTCAAGGAAATAAATACAAGCAGTTTGACCTAAAAAGAACATTTATAAAAAACCTTAATTAAAAGAACAATACATCGATTTTATGCGTGTGTTTAATTTCTTCTAAACAGAAAACAAAAAGCTATGAGGCTCAATTCTTAAATAAAATTGTTTAGTGTGAATGTATATAATTTGAAGCTTCCGGCAATCGTTTATATTCTTGATCTAGATGAGGAGCTCTCAAATTGAAGATAATTGATTAAATTAATTAACTATAAATGAAACCAATATTTAGGTATGGAAACTGTAGGAAATTTGGCTTGTAATGTTTTGGAATACGTTCTAAAAGTGATCCGTGTTCAGATATTTGACAAAAGAGCTTGAAATGTCGATTGGTGTGCCGAGAACAACGAATTTTTAAGTAAGTTTTTATTTCATTGCAGACTCTGCGCACAGTAGTTCCCTGCTATGTGCTTTACTTAAAACAAGCTACCAGTAAATTGATTTATTGAGCCATGAAATATGCTAAAGCTTCCTGAAAACCTGTGAACCTGCAGCAGGCAGCCGTGCACTCGAGCAGCCGGGAAGCCAGGCTTTCCCATTGAGTTCACTCGATTTTTCAACCAATGCACATATTGAAATATTGCACACAAATAACAGGTGGCTTTTCCGGCTTTTGTGCTTGTTTTATTTGCGCATGGAAAAGCAAGAAAACTCAATTGATGGGCCCATGACCTCACATTTTCATTGTTCATGCACAATAAATATCCAATACAAAATAATGTTGATATCTTTCGTAATAAATATTCATGCGACAGATAAGCAAAGGTGGAGGGCGCTAGTCTCCTAACAGAAATATTAACAACATAGAATGTTGCAGTCGAGCAAGCCCGACATTGCAATACCCTGCACTCAAAAAATATTAAGATAGACTGCTAGAGTCCTAAAAGCTCGACAGTGTAATGTGAAGGTTACTTAATGTAGCTAGACTAGTGGACAATAATGGCGAAATTGTTTAGAGTGCAAAGATGACGAGGGGGCAGAATTGAAAAAATATAATAATACATTGCATAATACATACCTAGGAGATATTACATAAGAAATAAGTTCGTCCATCCCAACAGACGGACGAACAGATATCAATTCGTCTCGTCATGCTGTTCAAGAATATACCAATAGACATCTATTTTACGTGGTCGGATATGCTATGCTATATATGGCGGAGAAGAAAATCATAACCAGATGGTAGTTCTGGAGTAAAATTGTTTTGCTAATCATTTTTTTCGGATTAACCGACTTGATAAATATTGAAAAAGTGATAAAGCGACTTATAGAAATAAAATTTGCACGGAGAAAAAGTAATTATTGATATATGAATGAACTCAGCCCTTTCCCAAATGCCGGCGTCATCTAGTCAGACATATCCAGATCGAATTTCGGCGCTTCAGTTACATACGTTGGAAAATATTGTATATACGCTTTGACGCAGGGTATTTAAATGAAGCAATACTTGTATTTTAATTTTGCCGCACATTTGTATTTTTCATACTGGCTGCTTTTACTACTGGTGCTGAATTTATCCTGCAGAGAGGATGCGGGATGGAGTTTGTGGCAGAACCCAAACAGACTCCACGGTCCTTGCTTTTTTTGCTGTCTATATCCAGACGAAGACGGTGGCTGCTTGAACTTTCTATATAAGTACATACTTGTACTACATATCTGCAAATATTTATTTAAGGATTTTTATGAAGTTGCACCAAAGCGAAAAAAGAAGTGTAAAGAAAGCAGCAAAATCTGCTTTGTGGCTTTGAATTGCGTCGGATATGTTCCACATTGAGGTTGTGGTTAATAAAAATCAACTTAGTAAGTTATGTGCTTGGCGTCTGCAGGTTGGCTTATAATGTCAATACCTGCTTAGAGTCCTCTGAATATAATTTGACTTTGGCTTACTCTTATTTGCTCATTTATAGCTAATTTAATTTGCAATATATATTTCAAATTCGCATTTGTATACACAACTTGATTGGGCTTCAATTAGTTGTTCATTTAGAAATGAGAGCTGATTGAATTTGTTATGAAATAATAATTAGTATATGGGGGCATAAAAGCTTTTCCATTAATGCTGAAAATATAAACACAAAAGGCAGCTGCCGATCGCCATTGTTCCATTTAAAGCTTTTGTCATAACAAAATTTTGCGATTTTTTTTCCGCAAACGGCACCAATATAGTACATATGTATCTGTTTGTCAATGTGTGTACTAAATGAATTATGTAACATGTCTAGCCATTTAGTGCCATAATTCAAGCAATCTATGCCAGCAGACACATCAAATTGGAAAATTTGAGGCCCAGGTGAGTAGGAGAGCGCACTAAATGGATGAAGCGAGACAAATTGCATTTGCATAGCGTAATTGGAATTGCATATTGGAAATTTTTGCACTCAGTAGTATGTATTCTACATATGATACAATAGCTATACATATATTGTTGGCTTTTGTGCCTGTGCAGGAACTATTTTAATGATACCCATTAATGCGGATGAAATGCATATTTTTAAATAGGCCTATGTTTATAAAGAGTTGTTTTCTCATCAAACATTTAAATTAATAGTGACACCAGCCGTTCTTGGTTATGCAACACAAATAGCTTTTTATACCCTGTACCCAAAGGGTACAAGGGTATATTAGTTTTGTGCGAGTGCACATGGAACACACAGAAGGAGGCTTGGTAGACCCCACAAAGTATATATATTCTTGATCAGCATGACAAGCCGAGTCGATATAGCCATGTCCGTCTGTCCGTCTGTCTGTCCGTCTGTCTGTCTGTCTGTATGAACGCAAGGATCTCCGAAAGTATAAGAGATAGTATAACCAAACTTGGTATACAGATTCTCCTGAGACCGAGAAAGGACGAGTTTGTTCATTTTTTCTGATCCACCCCCCCCACCCCCCCCCCCCCCCCCCTATTAACGATTTTCTATAACTCCCGTAATTCTTGGAATTATGAACTAAAATTTGGTAGTCACATTAGGTTCGTAATTATATATCCGTATACCAAGTTTCATTATGATAGAATGATCGGAAAGAAAGTTATAGCCATATAACCAGGCCCAATGCACACATACATACATATGTACAAGTACACAAACACGCATAAGGCACGATTCTGATGTAAATGTAAATGTATGTATGTATGCATGGAATATTTTATATTTAATTTAGTTACTTAATTAAATTAATTTAGTTAATTAATTAAATTAAATTAATTAATTAATTTAATTACTTTTTTGTGGGGTGGTACAGGGTATTTAAGAGTTGAGCCTGCTCGACTTTAGCATTCCTTTCTTGTTTTTGAACAGCTTTTGGCTAGAAGCTGAAGTTAAGCGGGCCATTTTTGCTTATTGGTATCTATTCCTAATGCCATTATCCAATTAGTTACATTCTAGGAGCTTATGTATGAAGAATGTGTGGCTTTTTTGAAGGACTTGCGGAGATAAGTCATCTATACTTTGTGGCCTTAAATCCTCGACCAATAGTTTTCCTTTGCGCTATTAGCAATTGGTTCTGTAGTTATTCACATTGTCTCGAGATTTGTTGCTGATATCGTTAATTACTTCCTTGATGTCTGCATTTTTAATAGCGTCGCATCATCTTCTTTATTAAGATCTCCATGTAAGTCACGAATCATTGAAATTCCCATCTGCCCTGCATAGACACGCAAATACCCACTTCGATGAAACCACGACGGATATTTATGGTAATCAATATCATATATGTATTTTGTATTATATTTACTAAATTAAGTTCAATTTAAGAAGTCAAGTATAAAATAAATTTCTTATAATTTTTAATGTGGTGTAGGTATAGGGTATATGTATAAAAGTTGGGCACGGTCGACTCTAGCTTTTCCTTGCTATAAGTTGTCAAATTCTTTTTTGTTTTTCTTGGTTGTCATTATTCAAAATTTAATTTTAGCTAAAATACAAAATTTTGAGTAATTTTAAAAATTTTGGTAAAAAAGTATCATTTTAATTGTGGCAGGAGTCGGCCAAACACAAAATGCCAGTTGCCGTACGCCTCGTCGAAGCCTTGACTTTGATTACGATAATGGCTCTGATTGCATGCGTGTCTCTTACTGTGATTGTGGCTCAACGCACAATTTTTATTGCCGTGACCCTTCTGGAGGTAAGTTTGCACTGCATCGGGTAATTTGAAGTCCTCAACAGCCTCATTCACAGCCAGCAGTAACAATTGCCAATATTCTGCTGATTATGACTGAGAAAGTGTTGGTCGGCGCCCTTCTGTGTATGGTGACGATGATTAATACAGTTAGCAATGCAATACATTCGACCGGTGTGGCTTGAATAATTCTTAATGTAATTATTGAAATATATCCATTTTTCTTGGTTGTAATATAAGTGAAAAAGTGGCAGTTTAATAATATATATTTGTAGCAGAATTTTTTGTTATCGTTTTAATGTTTGAAGATTCGAATTTATATATCTATGTATATGCATGTAGATTTCTCGTATCACAAGGTTTGTCCAAGATAGACTCTGAAGCTACTGAGCCGATTTTAATCAAATTTCGCACGTATCTGCAATTTGGCCCAACTTAAAAGATAGCATAGTTTTTATCTTTATTACTCAGGCTGTACTGGTTGATTCTTCATATTGCTACGTGACCCTCCAAAAATTTGTTCGTATTATTTCATGAATATGTTTTGGATAAGCAGGGCAAAAGTAAGACCGAAATAGAAGTCCGAGTTTGTGTTAGTTAGTTCTTAAGGTGTTGAACCTAAGTGTGTGTGTTTGCCGATATTAAGAAGTATTCAATTACCGAATATAATAATGACAGTCAGAAGAACAAACTGTAGCAACAAACGCAACCCAACGGATCAGAAAAACAGATATTCGCAGACATGAATCTCAAGATCAGCGTTATGAACTATGAGACAAAATGAATGGAGGAGAAGAGCAGAGCGGCAACGGAATATGGACAGTTTTAGAGCACCAGAAATTAATTACTCTGTGCAAAATTACAATTGGTGCTTTAAATAAAATATGTCAATATTGTCAAGCATTTAAATTCCGAAATGAACCACTAGGTATCTTTGTGTTGTGCATCAGGAAAAATCAGGATCCAGGATAACTCGATTTCATAGAAAAAGCAGAATTGTGGAATTAATGGAAGTTTTTTTTTCGAAAATTTTAATCAACCTATTTTTTAAATTCTCTGGATTTATCAGACAACTTGTGATTAAAAATTGGTTCACCAATTATTCTTCTCTGTAATTCAAACCAACCCAAATTATGCAACATTGCACGTTCAGTCCTCAAAAGGATCAATGGAAATATTATCGAAGAACAATTTTAGCTGGAAAGGTTAAAGAAGAAATCGTCCTGTTTCCACACATTCCATTAAAAGCGTCAGATCATAAATAAATCACAACGTCAAACAATGTCGATTAGCGGATTGGACTTGAAAATATGTGTTTCTGATTCGGAGTGGGAAAACCATCAAATTTAAATGTGTTGGCAAGAGACAGGTTAGCCAAGGATATAGATAATTGTCAATTTTAATAAATAAACATAATAAAAACGTTATTTAACCTACTATAATTATTGAGCTATAGTAACTCGTCGCTGGATGAGATAGTATATAGTATGTAGATTAGGGGAGCGGAACATTCCAATAGGAGTTGCAACAAAACGTTAAAAGGTTATTATGAGTCAAGAGTGCATCAAAAAAATTTGAGCATGCCGTTGCCGATTTGTAGATTCTAGCTTTGATACTCTTCGGTATCCATATGTGTATACTCGTATGTTAATGCAAAAGCACGCTTTTAAGCAAGAGAATTTTGAAAAGATTGGGATTGCACATTTTGGCTAGCATACTTGTATAATGTTCGAATTGTTGTCTGTACTGACATTAGTCCGTGTTGCTGGGTATTAACCCAGCATGGCGCTTTCGTCGTGATAAATGCCATTTAAGTAAATGATCTTAGTTTATTGCATTGCACTTTATATCTTGTAGTGCCTAACTAATCTGTTAGGCAGCATTAATATTGAATGTTTATGTTTTGTTGTGGCACTCAAAGTGGGTCTTGCAGTTTGCTAAAAGTTGTTAATAAATGAAAATGAAGTACCGGCACGCTAATATTCAATCAAACAAGTTTACGCCTCAATAAGCATTCCTATCCTGCGGCATTAAAACTGAATAAACTGAAAGAAATGCGCTCAGTTGTGGCAAATTTTCGCCTCGCTGCAAAAAAGAAAACGAACGAATATTTCCTCCTCACTAAAGGCAATTTGTGCTCGAGGATGCGCAACATTTTTTAGTCGCTCCCCTTGCTGACGTACTCGTGGCTGGCATTGTTGTGGTCGTGCTTCTCACTTTTATTCGGGTTTGGCACGCCAAAAGCCGCCTTTAAAGTTTTAGCACCTTTTGTGCTGTTTATTCTATTATTTAGTTATTTATCAATGCCGTCCTCGATCCGGCTCCAGTGGGGCTCACAGTGTAGGTGTTTTTGCTGTTGCTTTTATTTTTGTGGCGAACGAAAACTTTTCTTGCACATTTTTTTTTGATTTAGTGGCAATTTTGTCCAGAAATTTGTGTAGTGCCTCGGGGGGAAACTTAAAACAAGCAGATTACAGACGGAAATTGAAGCAAGTTAAGCGACGAGCCAACGATCCGTATGCCCCGACTCTCCAGCTACATGGAGCTGTTACCAATAATAACGAACTAAAAAGTTGTCTTCGCCTGCGTTGCAGCTATATACCCTACACTGTATGTATGTATATACCCTGTACTTGTATGTATATACCCTGAATTATTATCTTTATTATTATCTTTCATTAGAAAACATTTTATACTTATTTTCCTGTCGGCCATCAATGGTCACCTTTCTTGAAATGATGATAATATTTTCAATATGTATTTGGTACAAGAACTACAAGTATTTTCAAAACATTTTGTTTGGAAGATAGCTATTAGATATATTCAGCTGGCATGGTTGGTCTGGACATATGTCGAAGCATAGTTTCAACGAGTTTGGATTTGGATTCAATTCATCATGATGATCATACATGTATGTAGTATGTTTGTATCTCTAAAGAATGGTCTACCATTATTCCTATTCGATGGTAAAACCGTGCGAAGCAAAACAATATCCCTTACTCTTTTCAGTGAAGGGTATAAAACAGATCGAACAAGTTCGAACGCTAACAGCTATATATTTTATGTATCGTGAGCTTAAGTTGTGGTGGTATATGCCAATGCTTATGAATTGAGCCAACAGAGTCAATTATAGCCAACACCTTAACGCTTTTTGGAGGAGTAGTTAAGGGGAGTTGCGGCCATGACTCTTGTTAACCAAGACTTGTTATACGCTCAATTGGCCAACAGTGAATTTTTTGAATTTTAACGCTTAAAAATAAAACGAATCATGATCTGTTAGAAGTTATTTATTTGTATAATCTTTAGAAAATGTATAAATGGACCTATGTGAGAGAGAGCTTATGAGAGCTTTTCAATAAACGCATTCATTATCCTCCAGTTTCATGCGATACCAATCCGATAAAAAGGTGTGTTTGTTGCGTTTTGAATGTACTACACAGCTTAAAACTTCCGAATTAGCTGAATAGTCGAACTCAAACACGGCTGAGGCGTTGTCGATTTTTGTTTTGTCGATGAATATCTTCATGGCTTGTAATGTGTACGATAAGTAATGCTTCGAAACGTCCGGCGCCCAAAACTCACTCTAGTTTAAGGTTATGGTTGAAGATTATTCAGATTATTAGCCTTATTATACAGGTACTTACATGTTCGACGACAATCTTGCCTAAATATTGTATTTCAAGTTTTTCAACTTGGCCATTTAGGTCGGCAGAAGCCACGTGAACATTTCTGATCCCCTTTAGAGTACATGCGCTCCACCAGCTTAAAGTCTGTTTGGGGCTGTGTTGGGTGGGTCCAATGAATGTGAGGCCCAATTTAGCTTCAATGAAGTTCATTTTGCTAACATCAATTGACGTTGGTCTAGAAGATAATTGTTAAAAAAGGGTTATATTCCCATAAATAACGTATGTACTTGGATTCAGAAGTCCACTTTTCGAACTTAATGTCGGTTCCACACATGGGCGAGCTGTAAACTAGTAAGAGACCGTTCAAGTTGCAGCGAAAAACACAATTGAATTCAGCACAGCTTGCGCTTTTTTTAAGAGTATCTTTAAATAAAACATCGCTTAAATTAGACAGTTAATTGATTTCTTAATGCTATTCTCTCACCTCTGTATAAATGATGACGCAACTTCGCCTCCCACAAATCGAAGCGCCGCACTGCCTGGTAGTCGTCATGGGCTCCTTGATGTTCTCCAAGACATAAGTAAATCGTGCTGCGGTATTTGGTGGCCAATATTTTCCAGTTTCGGCCTACCCATTTATAGGGTGTACTCATTAGTACTTCCAGAACTTCAGCCTGACATACGATGTTTGCATTTACGAAGAACCCCTTTTTCGGTTGACGTAGAAGCATCTCATCCGATGAATCAGTAATATAGTTCAGCATGTGATCCAAATACTCGTCGAAGAAGCTGCAGTTCGGCTTAAGGTCTTGGGCACCTGCAACCTCATCCAGTTTTAAGGGAAAGCTACTGAGTGGGGGCACCTCCATGTACTTCAGCTCCTTGAAATTATGTTCGTAAAAACGATCGCTGGTCACGCTAAAACATCCCATTGCCTGTGGTCTAATTCTAATAGACTGTGCGTTCAGTACTGGGTACATTTTGAAGAAATCCCTTAAACCAAATATAAGTTGTGGCTCAGTCATGTTCAAAAAAGGCACTGAAAAATACATAATGGGATTATGAATACAACGGATGTCAATATATGTTTGTTTTATTGCAAATCTCTCCTATTTTCTTTTACTTACGCAATTAAAGTCTTCAGAAATGTCGCTTTTGCGTTAGAAAATTACAAAAAATGACTTGCAGTGTTGGTTAATGCTGAGTCATCGTTGGAGTCCTCGCAATTCACACACTGAAAATAATGTGGACAATAAGAAAGGAGCTGTCAACTCGTTATAAGTATAAAATATAAAATACCATTCATATTTTTAAAATGGTTACACCCGGTACTTAAGGGTAAAGCAGTTTTGTGCGAATGTAAGTAACACATAATTTTGTGCGAATGTATGTACAACATAGAACGATGCGTAGCAGACCCCGCAACGTATGTACATATATATATGTATGACAAGACGAGACGTTATAGCGATGTCTGTCTCTCCGTCCGTCAGTTCGAACGAAAGGATCTCAGAAAGTATAAAAGCTAGGATAACCAAACTTGATATCCAGATTTAAATTAGTCCAAGAAAGGACAATTTTACGCTCTCCCCGAAGCTGTACATGAAATATAGAAGAGTATATAAGGTGACGAGACGAGTCGATCTAGCCCTGTCTGTCTGTCTGTATGAACACCTGGATTTTAGAGACTATAAGAGGTAGAGACACCAAATTTTGCACAAAGATGCGATATGTGTGTACGCTGTGCAAGTTTGTTTTATTTATTTTTATTCCCCCCCCCCCCCCCAATTCCCTCCTATGGGGGCTTTCCCGATTTTCCATTCGTATAATCGTCTATAGAGACTATAAGACCTAGGAACACAAAATTTTAGTCCCAGATGCCTTTTGTGAATTTGCAAAAAATGTATATTTTGGAATTTCCCTCCCTCCCCCTCTCCCACACAAATCGTAACTCCCATAATTCTTGGAATTTCGAACTCCAATTTTGGAAATACCCCCAGGTAGTGATTTGTTATGTAGACCGATTTAACAGGAAGTTATAGCCATAAATATAATTGCTGCCAAGCGTGTGTCCTATACGTAATTTGTTTTCTTAGAAAGCAATGCTTACATATTTTATATTTGGTCATTCGTGGTAACTATTCTCGAAGCACAAGTGATGCAGAGTTGTCAGGTATGACAAAAATTTGGATTCAATATCATTTTAAAAAAAGTTTTCAATGCGAAATTATATTTAATACAGAATTATGACCACTATAACTATATCGGTCATCAAGATTCGGCCTGGGTATGCTGACCATACATATACATATGTATGTTAATATGTAACTATATCGTGTAGTCGACTAGTCTTCCTTCTGGGTGTTACAAACAAACAATTAATCAGTGATATACCAAAAAAATGTACATAGATTTATTTATTTAGACGACAAATAAATTAATTTTTAAAATATTGGCCAGACAGATTTTATAAATTGCACAACCATTTTCAAATAAAACTAATTTTTAAATTATGAAAGTGTCTTTATTTCAAATCTCCAATGCAGGCTTTAAATATATCGAATTATACATTTTGATTAATAAGTATTGCTTTAAGAGTTTACAGAGCTGATTGCGCAGTTGTAGTTTCCTCTTGCGGTTCCTGTGTAGAAGTAGAGTCCACAGCGTTGTCCTGAGGAACTTGTCCACAACCGCAAGAGTCGCGAGTATTTAACTCAATCCATTCGTTGAAATTACTTACGCGGGTGTACACGCCAGGTGATCCAGGTTTGGCGCAGCCCTCGCCCCAAGATACAATGCCAGCCAGCTGATAGTTAAGACTCTGAGCAGAATCTAACACATGCATGGGTCCACCACTATCGCCTTGGCATGAGTCTTTACCGCCCTGTTCCACAAAACCGGCACAGATCATGTTGTCAGAAATGCGTTGTGGTCCATAGTTGCTGGCACGGCACTGCTCTTGCGACAATATTGGCACCTCCACTTCCTGCAGGGTGTCCGAAACCGGCCCGCCTTCACTAATAGCTCCCCATCCAGTTACTACTGCCGTTTGGCCAGCATAGGTTTCTGTAGACGAAGGCAGGCAAACGGGATGCATGTCAATCCCCAGACGAACGGGCTCATTGAAGCGAATCAAGGCGATGTCGCTGTCGAAAGTTCTAGTGCTATAGTCAGGATGGACCAGCACGCGTGAAACTCGTCTGTCCACCACCTTTACACTGCTATTCACCCTATTGTGCTCAAGCAGACGAACCGTAATAAGTCGATGGTAAAACCCATTTACGCAATGCGCTGCCGTTATGGCATATTGATCGTTGACGAGCGAGGCGCCGCAATAGAAACTGCCAAACCACATGAGCATGGCCATCCAAGGATACTCATGTACTTCCGTTTCCTGTCCGCCGACTATGCGATGGCGTGTGTTGACGCCGCCGCAGGCACACGCCGTGCACTCCCGCTTCGCAGGCACTCCCAGCTCCGGGGCCGCATACTCCGGTCCTAGAATAGAGACAATCCAATCGAGGAAGCTGTTCTGACGCAAATTGCTGAGCGTCTCTAGAATCTTTGCGGGTTCAGACACACTGCGTACATTTGGAGATGCCTGGGCCCACCCCACGTACAGCAGCAATAAAGACAAAAGATAAACGGAACGCATCGCAGAAGACACTGCGCCAGGCAAGTAGTGAAGTGCAACTGAAGCGCTGCGTCCTTTGCAACAAGCCTTTAAGCCCCAATAGAAGCTACGCTGAACCGGCTACAGAACTTGCTGAGCCATCCAGAAATAGACAAGGCGGAAAGACGGCAAACCGGCTTGGTTCCCAGAGTTTGTTGCCCTGACCACTCAGTAAAGATAAGCCCGGCTTGGCAGAACATTTTCTTTAATTCAATAAATAAACTTTTTATGACTACACGCAATTCTCACTTGAAGGCAGTTATTTGATCTTCTTGGTCTCCGACTGGCAGAGACAGGCTTGTTTGGTGAGATTCTTGATCCAGGTGCCGTAGCGATTGACTCGTGCATACACGCCTGGATATCCCATTTTGGCGCAGCCTTCGCCCCAGGACACAACACCGGCGATTTGATGCTCTCGCGTGCCATTTGCCACAATGTGAAGTGGGCCGCCGCTGTCACCCTGGCAAGAATCCTTGCCGCCCTTATCCACAAATCCGGCGCAGAGCATGTTGTCTGTTATTCGAGCGGCGCCATATCGACTTTTACGGCACTCGTCCTGCGACATAACCGGCACTTGCACCTCCTGAAAGAAATTTCAGCTATATAGTTACTGAACTAGTACTGGTCTAAGAAGTACAAATAAGTTGTTGGTGATAAGCGCTCTGATCTGAACATTTTAACAAAGCCCCAAATTCATGAATTCTCTCTATCTCACGTTCTCAATAGACAAATCTTCGGCGTTATGAAACTTAAATTCCATTACGAAGAAATCCTATTGTGTGATAATATACAATGAAGTTTGGTCTTTGTATAATGATTAGTTTAGTAATGAACCTGCAGGGTGTCCGATGTGGGTCCGCCTACTTTAAGGGCTCCCCAGCCAGTTACGATGGCGGTCTCGCCCTTGAAACTACGACCGGGTGTGGGCATGCAAACCGGATGCAGTAGCTCACTAAACTCGACCGGCTCGTCCAGTTTGAGAATGGCAATGTCGTTATCGTAGTTTCGCGCGTTGTATTTGGGATGCGTGATCACCTCCATGACTTTGCGGTCGATCTTCTGTATGTGCGACAGCTTGCGATCATGCTCCAGCATGCGAACTGAAATGCGCTCTCTTCTAAACCCGTAAACGCAGTGCGAAGCGGTCAGCAGGAACTGATCGTTCAGCAGTGATGCGGCACAATAGAATCGTCCGCCGTAGAGCAGCATTGCTACCCAGGGGTACTGATGTATTTCTGTCTCCTGACCGCCGACGATGCGCTTCTGTATGTTGGCGATGCCGCAAAAGCAGTCGCTGCAGTTGCGCGGCGGATTCAGAGCGTTGGACGTAAGCGGTGGAGCTGGCGTGGTGGCGCGGCGAGTGGTTGTGGAGCTGCTCGAGGAGGGAGGTGGCGTGGTGGTGAATGGCTCAGCGGTTGTAGTTGTGCTCATTAGCGGGCTACCACTGCTGGTCAATGTTGCCAGAGTGGCATTAAGGCTTTCCGGCATGCTGCCCGGTCGTTGTGGCAACAACGAAAGCACCCATTGAATGAAAACGTTTTGTGATTGTTTGAGCAATGGGGATGGAGCCGCTGCGGTATCTGTTGATGTGGCCGGCTGCGCGGCAACTACCAGACCCAGAAGTAGCCAGCTAATCAAAGAACTCCAAGACATTTTACCGGATTGCTTGGACTTGGCTAGGCAGTGCTTTGCTTTCTCCTCGCAGTGCGACACCAACGTCGCGTGGCTGAAGGCAAACTAAATGCTAGTGCTGGATTTGAAAGCGCGCGAAGCTCCGAGACAGCAAAAACTCGTAGCTGAAAGCATTTCACTTAACAATTACAATAAAAAGTGGTTCTCGCCAGGTTCCGTTGTAAAAGTGTCACTAAGCGATGGTTACGTGACCAAATGGGTAGTCACGAGAAGCGTGCTTTAAAAAATATACACATATATAATTAATTGCAAACCTATTATGAAACATCAATAGAAATTAATAATTTATTCGACGTATATTTCAATTTAAGATGCTAACAAGAATTTACATTAGCGAACTTCGTTAGAATTTCTTCCAACCTACATATTGAGAGGTCTGGTATTTGCTTTACGAAAATATATATATAAATATAGCGGCCTTCGATCAAAAAATCAACAATAATTTGCTGCACTTTTAAAAGTAATATCTTTCATTTGTAGGATGGTCAACGTTGATGTAGAACCTATCTGCTGAATTTTAAGATAACTATATAAAAAGCTACAGCAGCCCAAGTAGTGATAAAAGTGCAAACCGGAAACACTTGAAATCGGCGCAATTACTGGATGCTTTTTATTGATACCAATATATTTACCCCCCTCTGCGCAGCTCGCCCAATAAGCCGGCTGAAGAGGAGGCAACCAGCCGATCTGACTAACTAACCCCAATAGTGAAATGTTTTCACTATAATTGTACAAGTGTATAAAATCTAATTTTAAACTGCAAAACTTTGGTCTCGTTTATGTATATAAAAATGTTATGATTATATTTGCAGATTCAAAATAATAAGGTATATATAATATATTTGTTCCTGAAGGAGACCAAAATAAATAAATATTGACTGTAAGAGAGTGAATTAAATTTAAATATAAACACTAGAAAAAGCAATGAAAGAAAAGACTTCAATTAAACTTTACAAAAATACTTTTCATCAAATTATTTCAATCGATATGGCACATATTAGGTAATTTAATTTATGGCAAATCCAAATTACAATTACATTTCATATTACTTGTAATTTATATGAATCTATGGGCAATATCGACAGGGTGTGGCTTCCTTTTCTTTATAGATCCTTATTGGAACATTTGTATTTCGAAGACGCCCCATCTATTGTGCAGCTTTCTTATGGAGAACGTAATCAACTTTGTGTAATCCTAGGTCCTTTTCAATGTTTGCCGTTTTCATATACCAGGGGGCACCAGTTATCAGGTGAAGTGTTTCAAGATTCGGATAAGTTAATGTAAATAAATGCTGTCAATTGCATTTTGAACTCTTCACGTAAAATATACCTAAAACAACTTCAAATTAGTATTAATATTTATGAAGTTTTTGTTTTTTCATTAATTCAGTTGGTATTCGTACTATTTATATAAGTATGTCATTCTTAACTGTATCCGTTTAAAATGACGGATATTCCTCCGAAAATATTTTGATTTATCCTGATGATTCCTGTTTTTCAAATCATATAAATGTGGTTTCTCATTGGAAATGAATGTCCACGTAGCGCTATATAATAATAATAAGAATATCTCTGCAGTGTATACAACATACTTGTACATATACCTGCTCACATCTCACACAATAAAATCACTTTGGATAATTTCGTGTTGGCAATAGTTGTGTTTCAGTGCGATTGCTATATAAGTATGTTGAGCTTGCGATCTCCACACGCGTACATCTCTAATCGATCGTCCGATTGCTAATTTGTTAGTGTGTGTCGGCGCTTTTCGTATTCTGCGCATGCGTGGGCGCCGCTGAACAGCTGCTCTGGCTGCGCTCGTTTGCTGCTCGTTGCTCTGCTTGCGACCGCTTGACCGTGATACTCGAATTCGATGGTTTTTGTTATTGTTTCGGTTTTTTTTCGCGCTACTGAAGTAGCGAAAGTTTTTCTTGCGTCGATTTTATTGAAATGAATTTTTTGTGCGTTCGATGCGTTGTAATTTTACTTTCTTTTGATTTGTTTAATTGGACGAGCTTTGTGTGTGTTTGTGAGCTTTTTATGCTTTGTTTGCGGTCTGGCATTTTTGTGTGGCCCGACACTGTTTACACTGTTTACGTGGTTTGCTTTAGCAATTGCCGGTAGCACTTTTTCACAGGGTGTGTACATACTAAGGGCATAAATGAAGAGACGCATTGTTTACTTGATACATACATACAATCACATGTTTTATATCATACCTTATCTATATGTAGCTATTTATTTTAATCTATTAAAACTTATTGTCAAACCCGCACAATATGTTGTATGTGGTAATAGTTTTTTTTTGTCGAATCAATTTTTTCGGATTTCACATGTTCCTGTCAAAAAACAAGCAGGTGGTAAAACGTAAGTACTGCAAGTTCGCAACCCATCGAACTGCTAATTAGAGCTATACCAACATCGATGTTTTCGATATTTTAAAACCACAACATCGATACTATTGGTAATTTCAAATACACTATTTTCCGTTAGTCTTATTCGTTAGATCAATATTTTTGTTCAATTTACGATGTTGCTTTTTAAAAAGCTCCTACTTTGTGTTATAATTTGCTAAAAGTGTCTTCAGAGACATCTCATGTGGCTGGCACACCCATGATCTGCCTGACCGGACATATTTTAATGATTCATCATTGCGTGCATCAAAAATTGTAACGGGCTTAGTGACAAAGATTCGTTGTGTTGCCCTTAATTGCAAATTTTATTGCATAGATACGTTTGAGAATTGTCCATACATTTTTTGAAGTTCTTCCAAACAATAGATGGCTTCTTTCCCCTCGTGGTGGCATCAATGGTTCCGTTCCTCCGCACATAGTTGTCCATTAATGTAACTACATTGGTATAAAAGGGGAAACACTTATTGAAGCTTAAATTACGTGAATTCATAGCAAACAATCACTACCGATATGCACTTCATATTTACTTACTACCTATCCATTTTAATCAAAAATATATTAAAATCCACTTAATAAATAAGAATTCTGGGACTTTTTCTTCCTGCTAATGGGCTTCCGAATTTTCAAAAAAGTACCTTAATTTCGATATTGGCAAATAAAACATCGATGTTAAATTTCAGGTAAAATGTGTAGAATTTTTCTGGAATTTCGTATGGGTTATTTTAAATCATCATAGTTTCGGAGCATTTATTTATTTTATTTTCGACTGTTTCATCTTTACAATTAGAAATATTTTTTAGTATTTTCTATATTGGCGAAAACACCGATTTATCGATGTTGACATCGATGATTTTGCCAGCTCTACTGCTAATGTCAATAAAAAGTAGCCTCTATACTAAACTATTGGCCAATACCCCACGCGTAAAAATTGAGTTGATTGAAATGTTATATAGCTCAGTTGGTTTTTATTAATGGATTCATTCTGAGATTTAAACACATGTAATTATTTACAAATATGAAAAACTAATTTGACAGACAGTGACCCACAGCTTATTTTATGGAGGTGTGAAAGTGCCAATTGGGCCATTCGGTCGAACTTTCGGATGTATCAAAATTTGGTTCCTCAGGCAGCGAAGTTGGCAGACTTTAATATTATTGCTATTTTATGGACAATATTGGATCAAAAATTTTGGAAACATAAAACTTCCAATAAAAACGACCACAAAGAGGCGCTAAGAATTAAAGGTGCCTCAAAAGTTAGTGATATTGATGCAAAATTGCCTTAGTGTAGTTGTAGACCATAAGGGCTTTTATATAAAATATAATAAAAGAATGAAATTATTATAAAAACAAAAGTTTTCCACAACAAAACTAGCTGCATAAAATCAGCTATGCAGTTTTTTTTTAATAAATAAATGTCCATTTATTGGATATAAATAAAATCTTATATTAAACTAGAGATTATAAACTTTCAAATGGTACCAAAAGTTTCGCCTCCAAAAGCGAGAATATGAACTGCTTAAAATAAGCTGGGAGCCACTGTACATTAAGATCAAAACTATAATAATAATTAACTTTTAAGTTGCTAAGACTAACAAAGAGACTAACTATATAACAGGTATAGAATTTAGAATTTTTATCGTAGCCACAGATAACTTCATCATTGAGGACACTGTGGCCAATGTATGGGATGTAGACATAGCCACACTAATTGCTGCGCCCTACCGGTCTTAATGGCTAGTTAGTAGCTGCATTTAATGCGCATATTAAAGAAGTCTATTATCATATTGCTATGTTTAACAGCAAACTTTGTTGGTGGTCACATTTAAAGTCTGCAATGGACCGCGGCGTACCTGCCCATCAACCAAACGACCGCCTTGCATAATTGCCCTGCAAGTGCATGTCTAGCTTGTCGCATAAATAACCAGTGCCGGGCAAGTCGTGTCCGGCTATACGTGCAACATTTAAATATGTGCTCATGTTCGCAGTGTATGTTCCTACAATGTACAAAGATGCATACATACATACAAATATGTACTCATATGTACATTTTTCGTTTGCCTTTTTTTCTAACAGCGTATTATGCAAATGACACTTTTTTTAACGGCGCCCATTGACTGGCCCCTCCAACTTGCGCTGTATAGGGGCTCGACATTGGTTTGTCATAGGCAGTGACAAAAAAAGCAACAACAACGGCAGCCACGCTATGCTGGCCAACACAACTTGGACATCATTACGCAGATAATTAATATGCCAAGTATTATGTGCGCGCATACAAATGAGACTTTTTCCAGTCTGCCCAGCATCCCATGCTCGTTCGGATCATGCCGGGACTCTTCATTCCACCGTCTGCTGAAAACACAAATGATCTGATCGTGAGCATAGGACCCCAAAAATGTTCCCCCTCGATTAAATTCTTATAGCCATAAATGTATAATCTGCACCTGTTGTTGCTTTGCCTCAACTCTCTACTGCAATTTACGCACTTAGGCGCAATCCCGATATCAATTGCTGTTAAACATGCATTATATAATGAATATAAAATAGT